TTTACTTTATTTTAATATTCTAATATTCTAAATTAATATTTAATTTAAAAAAAATAAAGGCTAAAGAGACAGGAGTTCTTCCATCTCTGAAAGACCTTTACGAGCGGACCCACCGGAGGAAGAGTGGGCAGTTTGTAGATCCTGCTTCCGAGCGGATCTACAACGAGGTTGCTGCCCGAGTTGACGAGCGCCAGACCCAATTGACTCAGCAGACTGGGGCTCCGGTCGTATTATCCACTCTTGAAGTGGATAAGATTTACGAGGAGGTAAATAATTTTAATATATTAATTTTTATTATTTATTTAATTTTATTGCTTTGGTTATTAATATTTTAATTTACAGGTCGTTCCGAGGAAAAAGGGCCATGTTATCGGGATTGGCTCGGTTAACGATGTCCCCGCAGTGACATCGGCTTATGTTCACCAACAAGCCGATGACAATGCTCAGCTGCGGACGGAGTTGCAGGCGACGCAGTCTCATGTGCGTACGCTCACGGATATCCTCGACATTGTGGCGATTGGAAACCCGCAAGTGGCGGAAGTGTTGCGTCAGAGACGGGAAAGCGGAGCCCTTCCATCCCAAGAGCCTCCACCATCTCAATCACAGCCGGCATCCAACATTGGAGACGACTTCGTGAACCAATTTCAAGACCAGCATCCTTTTTAGTTTTTTTTTTTAGTTTTTAATTGTATATTATGAATTTTAAAACTTATTAATTGTATATTATTTAGTTATTTATATATATTTTGTTATTTATTTTTTTAATTTTTTTTAATATATATAATTTTAGTTTATAAATATTTTTTTTAAATAGGAAAAAATTGTTTCGAAGTTAAATCCTCGTAAAAGTTTCGAAGTAAATTCGTCGTAAACTTTCCTAGCAAGTTCCTCGTGAAGGGTCTACTACGAGTTTACGAGGAAATAGTTTACTATGTCCTTACGAGGAAAGTATACGTGGAGCTTACGAGGAAATCGTTTCCACGGCTTTACGAGGAAACCTTTCTTCGTAAATTAGCTAAGCGTTTACGAGGAAAATAGGCTTTACGATGAACGTCGACGAAACACGTTTCCTCGTTATTTCCTAGTAAAGGGCCATTTACTAGGAAATAACGAGGAAAACCCGTCATAGTAAAGGACGTGTTTTCTTGTAGTGAGTCTTCTACATGAAGATGTGCAAGTAAAAATGATGATGTACCTTGGGATAGTGATCTCAAAAGGGCAGTAGATTTCACGACCCTCGTTGATAGGAGGAACATGATCTCAAAAGCATTCTACTAATCTCAAAAAAGAAATAATCCCTTTATTATTAAAGGAGAAGCAATTAGGATAATAAACCTTGATTTTGTAATTTATTAACAGTTTTGCCATTATGGCTGATGTGGCAACACCACAAATCACTTTAGACATCACTTTTAATAGGTCTTTAAATACTAGAGAATTTACAATATTTGCCACTGATGGTCATTATAACATATAACATAACATATAACAATGACCATTAAGCCATTAAATGCATGATTCCCATTAAGCCATTAAATGCATGATTGTGTTGACAACTTTAAAGTTCCAACAAAATATTAAGTCAAACGATTTAAAATCAATAATACCGATACTTTCGAGAAACTAATTTATTGAATATTAGCATAGCAAACAATATATATTGCTTTAACAGATAATCATATTTGAAATCACGTTGTAATTCTCCAGATCTATACTTGCCGAGATTATGAATGCAACTCTGATCCTACCAGTAGTAAAACATGATAAATTTGATAAAACAAAATATTACAGCTTATTCATATATTAATTCCATCTCTTATCAAATTACTTTTAGAAGTTCATAGTTACTGGTTATCAAATTAGTCCTCCTCTTCTTACAATTCAAGAGTTTAATATTAAGATATTGCTCAATACAAGTATATATAAACCTACTATATACTTAAACATTACATTTTATAAAATTTTCATATGATGTCCGATAGAATTATGAACAAAAATGTATAGTAAAATATTTTCTTAACTATTTCTGTATAGTAAAATATATTTTTAACAGTTTTACCCCGCGTTAGGCGCGGGTCTCAAAAGGGCAGTAGATTTCACAACCCTCGTTGATAGGAGGAACATGATCTCAAAAGCATTCTACTAATCTCAAAAAAGAAATAATCATTTATTAAAGCATGACAGAGAAAAGATGTAGTTACGTAAGTGATGTCAAAAAGCTCCAAATCAACATCTTTAGGACGGATAAGACCGTACTGGATGGCTCCAGAGGTAGTCTTTGTTCTTTCTATATGATATTTGAAATTCACTAAAACACTTATGTAGATATATACTACTTATATTGTATATAGACTACTTATATATATATTCTCTTAACCACACAGCTCAGACAACCCAAGATGCAAAGAGATAGCAACCCAGATCTCGCTTTTGCTGTTGATATATATATGGAGTTTAGGATGTGGGAAGTGTCCATGGAGTGAGTTTGAAGGGGAGTGTGTTATACCGTATACGTTTGTAACATTTTTTGTTAAAATATATCATCAAATTAAACTTCTCTTTGAACTGTGTTTAACACACTACAAATGTAAATAGCCCATTCAAAACCAGCCATACTCTCATGACCAGAAATAACAAAACCCATTAACCATCAAACACACATGATCAACTTAAATATAAAAAAAGACAAGTGATGAAGTTAAAAAACTTGTATAAGATGATCTCTCTAAAGATGTCTTCCAATAGCTTTGCCACAGCGAAGAAGATTATCAGGAGGATTGTACTCATTGGCAAGACTCTTCACTGGATCCCACACTCTTAAATAAAACTGCTGTCCCAAATACTGTCTGTCCCATTTAGCTGATCTCATATTCCACATCCCTTGATTGTCCAAAGACACCAAGATTGTTGTCCAAGCGTTTGGATACACCTGCCATGCATTTTTTTTTTCAATAAGAACACACAATCAACAAACCAAAGTTGTTCCATTTAGAAACACTCACCTGAGTTGTGTGTCTTGTAAGAGCATCAGCAAGATTGTAAAGCCTTCTCTTTGCAGGTGTCCATTGTCCAGAACCAAATCTACATGTCATAACAAAAAGAAAAAAAAAGAAATTGACTTTTTCAGAGTCCCAATATAAAGGTGCTATTCAATAAAGAGTAAAAAAGACTCTTACGTACCCAACGACCCAAAAGTCATAACCGTCAAGGTGCCAAGACTGCACTGACTTCTCATTGTTCTGAAACACAATTTCAAGAAAATCATGGAGTGATGCTTGAACAACCGATGTCGCAACAATTACACGCGAGTTAGATGGGACACTCTGAATAGCATTCGTGCTGAACACTCCAGCTATGTTGAAGTGATCAGCGAGTTTTACAGGCGTCTCTGAGTTCACATAAGAGACTCCGTTCACTGCATAGCGTTGCTTCCCGTTGATCAAAGGAGCTGAGTTTGAGAAAACAAATGACTTGGTTGGTATGATTTTCCCATAGTGGAATGATCCCTGAGGGTTTGGTCTAGCTGCGTTTGCCGTCAAGTTCCACCTAAAAGAAAACAACATTCAAAAATGACCTAATAATACTTGGCATTCACGTACATACATTAAAATAATAACTGTTGTTTGTTTTTACCTGAATGTTCTGGCTTGTCTCATGGACCAAATAAGCTCTCCAGGGGGAAGAGAGGGAGGAGCACCAGAAGCTGCCACACGGGAGTTGGAATAACGCAACAGACCAGTAACAGAAAGCTTCTTCCTCACGAACCGGGTGCTAGCAACGATGTAATAATCTTTAGGAGGTTGGTTTAAGGTGACAAGAACAGATAGAGACTGGCCAACATGAATGTCAAGAGAATCATAATCGTTTTGAATCACATGAGACCCTTCAACTTCGACTAGTTTCATCGTATGTCCTTGGATTCTGAAGTTGAAACTGCTTGATAACCCAACATTAGAGATTCTCAACATGTAAGTCTTTCCTGAAAGAATCATAAATTAAACCAACCAGAAAATTCACTCAAATAAACAATTTTTCTTATTATTTCAAAAACTCACCTTGGTCGCCTGTAAATGTAGTTTGGGTTTGTCCGTTTATGAGCATTCCATCTGGAAAGGGAAGGACCCCACCAGAATCCAAACGCTGTTGGAGTGTTTTGTGGTTGGATTTAAACCAATCACCGATGAGGAGAGTGAAGTCTGAGACTGGTAGAGGGTAAGGGATAGGGATCCTAGGCCTTGCATAGACGTTGATGGCTCCGAATCCACCGGCGGCTTTGTGGAAAGCGGTGGAAGGGAAGTAGTTGTAAGTTCCGATCTGATCTTTGGTTTGGAACTTGTAAGTGAAGTTTGAGTTTGGTGGGATTGCACAGTTTGTTCCCAATACTCCATCTTGCCATGAGTTCTTTCTCTGCTTTATTCCATTCCTATAAACAGTTGGCAATATAATATCAATAACCCCATATATTTTGAGGGTTTATGAATCAGAAAAAATAGTATAAAAAGGTTACCATGTCAAGAGGAAAGGTTGGTCAATTTTGTTGATGAGGTTGAGGATGATGTTGTCATTAGTCACAACTTCAAGCTTTGGACCAGGAAACTGACCATTTATCAGAATAACCTAATTAAAACAAACAAAATATATCAATAAAGAGTTAAAAAAAAAGAGTCAGAGCATCAAACAAAAAATGGGTTTCAGAGTGTCTATAAGTAGAAACTATTGTTTTGTGTACTCTTTTGTACCTGTTGAGGGACACCAAGAGGAGAGATAATGCCGTAAGTCACTGTCCAAGTGTAGAACTTGTAAGGGCTTTCTCCTTTCACTGACACCAAACTGCTCAACAAAGCTAAAGATCCAAGAAGAAGAATATGAAGCAAAGATGTTGCTTTCCCACTTGCCATTTTTATGGCTTTCTAGAAGAGTGATGCAGACAGCTCAGAGGCTCTTTCTCCTGAGATGGGTTTGAGAAATGAAGGGGCTTTTGATATATAAAGATGTAACTAGATAGCGGAAGTTGCGGGTGACATGAGTAAATGAGAGGAAAAATGCAACAAAGGTGGTTTCAATCAATTAAAGACAGTGGAGATCTCGAGCGAGTTTTCTGCTTTTATTTAATTTGTTTGTTTGGTCAACTAAATTTAATCATTCCAACTATTCATAAATTAACTTCGGCAACTTTTTTACACCATTTAACTTTTAGACACATGTTTTGTCTAGTAATTTTAAATGTTTGTCGGCAAATTAGATCTATACTCTACATTCACTTTTGAATCGCTGGTTGCTTTGTTGTAAATATTACTAGTATTGAGTAAATAAAATTGTTAATGTGATAAAGGATAGTGGATAACGCGGTGATAACGGAATTGAATGGTTCACGCGTTTTGGCTAATGATTATTGCTTCCAGCCAAAGCTTAGCTTTCATTATTCGACTTTTCCCATAATGAAATAGAATGCAAAATTGCAAATACTGTAATAAGCGTTGTGGAAATATTAGTATGTCCTAATCTGTCGCCGCTGATTAGATTCGCCCTTCTGCAGTTACCTTCATGTTCACGGCCGAGGAAGTTTTCTTTTCTTTTCCTGGCACCAATTGTAAGCAAACTTTTAGTTTACATTATTGATGTCAACTGCCTTGTTGATAGCTGTGCCACTTTGCTGATTTACTGCAAATCTGATTAAAGATAATTTTATTTTATTTCTGGAGTTTCTCTTTTAAAACTCGCCGTTGAGAAGGGTCCACTGACTAATATATAAACTTGTTATATTTCTTGCTCACTAAAGAAATATAAAATGTTTCCCCAAAAAATGAGATATATAAAATATAGTAATGGAATTCAACTCTATTAATATGTCATTAGAATATACTTTTTATTTATATACAATACGCTATCCAAATAATATGTCATAATATAAAATATATATAAATTAATTTTCCAATAAGTATATTAACTGATATTTATAACATGTTAGTTTCAAAGTTGTATATATATTAAGAAAATCTAAACATACAATAACCAAAGAAAATTTAAAGAAATAAATAAAAGCATTTGAAACATTTTTTTACTTATGGGAAAATCAGCTTTAAAACAAAGGAGGTTATATTTATAATGAAAGTTGATAGTTGACTTTGACTTTGTGAACAGTATTTGTGATGAAAACGATTAGTAGCAACCCTCGAGTAAGTTTATTCGCCTTGGAACTGGATTAAAAGAAGAAACGCGTCAACCAAATAAAGACAAGAAAAGGAATCGTAGCTAAGCAGCATAATGATGTTTGGGGAGGATTATCAGGACGAAATAGGAAGGCATGTGGGGGAGTAATTGATTAAGCATCATTGGTTTAATTAAAACACATCCAACCACCAATTCTCGTCCCTTAATTATATTAATCAAGGGTAATACAAGAGTCAACAACACACGATAATGGAGAGTCACATGCTCTTATATTCAGGTGCTGTCTTGTAGTAGTGTATGAGCATCTTTTCTTATTAATGTATGAACATCTTTTCTTTTTTTTTAATTACGTACGTCCTATTATATTGGATGGGCCTAAAGATGTATACATCTTTTTATTGGGCCGGTTTAAATGGTGGCCTAATTATCAAACGAAGTTCCGAGGTAATTGCGCGGCAAGTAAGACGCAGGAGCGGATAACTTTCCGATGGACTACGGAAGTCAATGACAATTGGATTTGCTTTGCAACGAAGCTTACGCCCTTTCCTTTATTTTATTTTATTGTAAAGCAATCATAAACCTTTCAGATTCTAACAAAAAAAAAAGATCATAAACCTTTGTGTTTCTCCTCTGAAAAGAAAGAATGAATGCTTTGGTTGAGTTGGCAGTAGAATCTTTTGTCTCGGAGGCTCTGAAACTTGCGATTGCTGAAGCCAAGAAGTACAAGTCCTACAAACCCTTGTCCAAAGATCTGGTCTCAACGATGAAGAGATTGCTTCCCTTGACACAAAAGATCGATTCCATGCGAAACGAGCTAGACCACAATGCTGTAGAGCTAGAGGAACTCAGGGATACGATCCAACAAGCTCGTCTACTCATCCACAAGTTCCCAAGCGTCCGGTTCTACAACAAACCTAAATACGCTAGAAAAATCGAGAAGATCAATAAAGCTATGGCCAAGTTCTGCGGCATCGATCTCCAGCTTCTTCAGTACAGGGACCAGTTGGGATTGTCCGTTGTGGTGGGGAATATTGATGATAAGGTTGACGGTTTAAGTAAGAGAATAGACAGCTTGAGTGTTGTTCCTGTGCCTGTGCCTGTTTTTATGGATCATCTTTGTTCTGTTCCAAAGCTTGATAAGGCTCCCGTTGGTTTGGATTGGCCTTTGATGGATCTTAAGAAGAAGCTCCTTGACAATAATAATAATAATAATAATAATAATCCTCTGCTTAGTCTCGTTGTGTCTGCTCCTCCCGGCTGCGGCAAGACCACCCTCGTTACTCACCTTTGCAACAATGTACAAGTCAAAGGTATAGAGAGATCTTAAAAGTTTTCCATCTTTACTACTACAATTGGTAATTAGTGGATTAGTCCAAGTCCCTTATATACTACTCAAATTTATATTTCGATGTGGGATCTTTATCCCAACACTCCTCATCTTAGTATTGTTTCCATTTTTGGCAGGGCATTTCAAGCATATCTTGTTTAATGTTGTCTCAAGTACTCCTAACTTCAGGACGATTGTACAAAACTTACTTCAGCACAACGGTTATGCTCCACAAATATTTGAGAACGATACTCAAGCAACCGTTGCCTTGAGAAGACTGCTGGAGAAACTCATAGAAGACGGTCCTATATTGATGGTCTTGGATGATGTCTGGCTGGGAGCTGATTCCTTCCTTCAGAAATTTCTCATTACGTTGCCGGATTATAAGATTTTGGTGACTTCTCGCTCTGAGTTTCCGAGTTTTGGTTCCACTTATTATCTGAAACCTTTGGAAGGTGAAAATGCCAGAGCCCTTCTCATTCAATGGGCATCACAACCTTATAACGTCTCTCCAGCTGATTACGAGCATCTCCTCCAAAAGGTATTTTATTAGTTTTAATGACTCTACGAAACCATATTCCCTCCGTTTCGAATTAGATGTCATTCTAGAGGAAAATTTTCGTTTCAAAATAAGTGTTGTTTTAGAGTTTCGAGACACTATTTATTAGGTTTATATGATATTCTATTTTTCTATTGGTTGAAAAGTGGTTAGGTGTATTGGTAATTGTGGTTTTATATTGAAAATATGTAAAATTAAATGTTTCTTTAATCTGTGTGCCAAAACCTAGAATGACAATTAAATTGAAACGGAGGGAGTATTAGAAATCTGATTCACTTGTCTTTTGTATTTATTGCAGATATTGAAACGTTGCAATGGATTCCCAATAGTAATTGAAGTAGTTGGCAGTTCCCTTAAAGGACGATCTCTAACTGTTTGGAAAGGGCAGGTGGCAAACTGGTCTGAAGGGAAAACTATTCTTGATAGTCCTTCTCAGCCTAATGTGCTTCAATGTTTGGAGCCTAGCTTCATTGCCCTGGATCCTGATCTCAAGAAGTGTTTCTTGGACATGGGATCGTTTCTTGAAGACCAAAAGATACGTGCTTCTGTAATAATTGACATGTGGATGGAACTATACGGTATTAGCAGCACTGTCGTGTGCATGAAGTACCTTGAAGACCTTGCCTCCCAGAATCTACTTAAACTTGTTCCTCTCGGGTATGTTCTTTTGATGTTCTCTTTCCATTAGATTGAAATTTTACTTACTTATTTTGGTTTCAATCAGCAGAAATGAGCAGGAAGATGGTTTCTACAGTGAGTATTTAGTCACTCAGCATGATATCCTTAGGGAGTTGGCTATCCATCAAAGCGGATTAGAAGAAGACTTCTCTGAAAGAAAAAGATTGAATTTGGAGATAAGAGGGGATACATTTCCTGCCTGGTGTTTGAATCAAATGGAGCCTATTATGATTAACGCCTCTCTCTTGTCTATCTCTACAGGTAATTAATTCTTCAGAGTGGTTATATAAACCACTCTCTCTGTTGTTCCATGAAATATGAGTATTTTGTTTTTATTTGGTTACAGATGATTTGTTTACATCGAATTGGGTTGAAATGGATTGTCCCAATGTTGAGGCTTTGATTCTCAACATCTCTTCACCAAACTTTTCTTTACCAAACTTCATTGCTGGAATGAGGAAGCTAAAGGTTCTGATAATCACAAACAACGGTTCTTATCCAGCAAGATTGAGCAATTTCTCGTGTCTCATCAGCTCATTACCAAACCTGAAACGGATCAGACTTGAAAAGGTTTCAGTCGCTCTGCTGGACATTCTCCAGTTGCAGCTTTCCAGCCTGAAGAAGTTGTCTTTGGTTATGTGTAGCAGCTTCGGTGAGGTTTTCTACGACACTGAAGAAGAAAAAGATGTCTCTAAAGCTCTTCCTAGTTTACAAGAGATTGACATAGACTATTGCTATGATCTTGATGAGTTGCCGTATTGGGTCTGTGAAGTTGTTTCATTGAAGACACTTAGCATCACGAATTGTAACAAGCTCTCTGCACTTCCTGAAGCTATTGGAAACTTGAGCAGATTACAAGTGTTGAGGCTGAGTTCTTGTATTAATCTCTCTGAGCTTCCTGAAACGGTAGAGAGACTGAGCAACTTGGAGTTTCTTGATATTTCTCATTGCTTAGGACTGAGAAAGTTGCCTTTGGGGACTGGGAAGCTGCAGAAGCTGAAGAAGATGTCGATGATGAAATGTTGGAGATGCGAGCTGCCGGATTCAGTGAGGGATTTAGAGGATCTGGAGGTGAAATGCGATGAAGAAACTGCGTTGGTCTTGTGGGAAAGGTTGAAGCCAAAAATGAGAAACTTGAGAGTTCAAGAGCTGGAAACAGAGCATAATCTAAACTTGCTTCAAATGTTTTAATACTTGTATGTGTGTGTCTTGTAATTTTGTTAGTTGAGATCATCTGAATGTAAATAGAAACAATCATGTTTTGTATGCATGCTTTTTGTATTTAATAAAACTATTTACACGACATTTTTGGTTAGTGTTTTTGAGTGATTATCAGCTTTATAAATCTTAACTTTCCCACTACGGTTTACTTTCAATATTTTTGGCTTCCTTGTTTAATTTTCTAAAGTCTTTGTCTAAAGCTTCATGAAACACCAGATGAGTTGGTGTTAAAATGACCTATCCTCAGTCGCAAGAAACCTGTGTGTGAAGGAAGATTCTAAAACCACACTAGCCAGAAGATGATTTTGATAGTGACGTGGCAACTTTTATGAATTGTTTTTTAGTTTAAGGTACGAAAAGGTTTGGTGGGCCTCTCTTCTTGTCATAAAAAACATTTGGGCCTTCAAATTATGTCACAGACACCTGTCTAATCCTACCGTGGATGATTTGATTGGATAGCATGGATGTACTCTCAACACTTTAGCTTATTGATTTTGTCGGTCCATATCAATATAGACACTCTTAAATTATAATTCACCAAGGACGGTCGTGTTAAATTGGTTGTTGGATTGACCTAGTTAGAAATCAAATTATTGCTACACGAGCCATTTAATTTGATAAAGAGTACCAAAAGGTACAAGAGTGAGGTGTGTTAGAGAGAAATGTATATTTGTAATTTATTAAGATAATAGAAAATGAGATATTTGGGTTTATGGGTAAGTGAGCAACTAATGGGTAGAACTGAACATTTTATCTGTTAAATTTGATTTGATTCGTTTTTTATTTTAATTCGATCCAAAAATTTGGATATTCGTAAGTCATCGAAGCAAATCAAATATTAAAATTCAATATCCGTCAAACACACAAATATTAAAAAATTTAGAACTAGATATATGATCCACTTTGACTTTTCTACAAATAAAGAGATGTATATATATATAATTATATATAGAGGTTTAAATGGATAATTTTATATAATTATATTAACATATAATTTTATTAATTTCATATATAAAGTTATTAAACTAAGAAAGTTATATCAAAACTTTATAAAAATTACAATATTCTTAAAATTTTGTGTTTTATTTTTAAAAATTGATTGATTTTTAAAATTTATAGAACATATAATCTCACTAATTTTTATATTTTATTTTATATTATGCAAAAGATAATTTTGAAATTTTTTTATTATTTTTTAAGATTTATTTGTATTAAACAAAGTATATGAGATATCTGTAAATATTCGCGAATATCTGAAAAAACTTTGAAATCCGATTCTGAATACCCGTAGTTCTTTAAAGTAAAACAAATAAAAAAAGTTAGATATCCCTAAATATAAAATAAATGACAAATACTAAAAATTGTGATATTATTTGATATGCGCACATCCCTAACTAATAGGTCATTGCTTAATTGAATGACCGACTCATCAATTTTACCACCTTCTCTTTATTGCTACACTAAGCATCCTACTGGTGACATTAGTATACTATTTTTATGCACATGCACATTAAGTATCCATGTTTCTCATGAACCATCAGGTAAAAATATAAGTTGAAAACTCACCCACATACATGTCTTCTCTTTTTTTTTTGTAAAGTACTCACATACATATCTCTACCGATCTATCATCTATATGATCATGCATGATGTAGTCAAAACGAAGTGAATGAAAGTTAGTTAAAAGCTAAAACTGTAAGGCTGTGTGCAAGAGTATCTCCAACCTCACTCTATAATTTACTGCAAAGTGGAGTGGAAAATAGAATAATGAACAAACAAAAAAAGTAATTATTTTATAAATGGAATAATGACGTTTTTATTTGTTCACTATTCCATTTCTCATTTGATTTTGCAGTAAAATTATGAAGTAGGGTTGGAGATTCTCTAAGTACTTTCTAGCCGCTAGGGGTGGGCATTTTATCCGATACCCGAACTTGTACCCGAACCCGATCCGAAATATCCGAACCGAAATCCGAACCGAAGTAGTAAAATACCCGAACGGGTATTGAGTTAGGAGAGTTTGGATATCCGAACCCGAACGGGTACTACCCGAACCCGAACGGGTATCCGAAGATAACCGAACATATGTATATATACCTATTTATTCCTAGTTTATTTTATCTCATTTTATTAAAACTATTTATATTAATGTTATAAATAGTTTAATATCATATAATATACATATAATTGTAAAAAAATTGATTTGTTACTCATTTAAAATGCATGTTAAGCTTCTTATTTCATACTTTAAACAAAATTTGCATCCAAAATTTGAAAATAATAACCAAAATAAGGATTTTTATTTTCAATAATTTATTTTCAAACTTATTAATCGTCTAACTTATTAAACATTATTAAAACAGTTAAGTTAATAGTTAAATTTTGAATACATGAAACTTAAGTAATAAAGAATTAAAATTTTTTTTTTCGAAATCTAAATATCCGAACCCGACCCGAAATAACCGAACCCGAACTAAAAATATCCGAACCCGACCCGATATGTAAAAATACCCGAACGGGTTCTAAACCCCAATACCGAAATACCTGAAAACCCAAAATACCCGACCCGAACCCGAACGGGTACCCGAACGCCCCCCTACTTGCCGCTATTGATCATGTTATATATGGAATATTACTTCTTTTTTTTTCTCCAGTGAAGAAGTGAGAAATCAGACAGTATTATTTTGAGTGCAAAGAGAGGATATATACATATATAAACATAAAATGTTAGTAGTATTACAGAGAAAAATGCTACTGAAGAGAGACCATATTAAATTTATGAATGGGTCAACGAGTGTGTGTAAATGACCAAACACAATCTTAATTGCCAAGCATTAAGACTTAACTACTTCTTTAACTTCATCTACTTGATAATTATTTTATGCGTTTACATTGAAGTATAATAAATGTATAACACACTCTTTCAATAGAATTAACTGTTGTAGAGTTTTGTAGCCATCATAATAATTATTTATTTATTTTCATCTTATTTTTTTCCTTCAAGTTTAATGGAAACTAGTGAATATGACAGATATAATTCCCAAAATTAGTATGCAAATTATAAGTTAAAAAGTCCAAGGGATCACTTGTGAAAAGGTGGAGAAAAAAAAGAGAGTAAGCTATTAACTCAACTAACCAATTTAGAAGGAATTTCAGAAATAAAACATATCAACAATGGAGAACACAAAGATGACTTATTCCATGGTTTGGTTTGACATTGTGATAAACCACTCGGGCAAGTGACCGTGCTCGTAACATCAAATTTACAAAGACAGCTGCATCCAAAAACAGTAACATCTCTCATTTTAACTTGAACCAATCAAAATAGGAAACACAAGAAGAATGTAAGATAATATATATGTTTACATACTTGAAAAAACGAGAGAGTGGAGAGATGGAGTGGAGATCTTTTGTTCAATTTGATACGAACCTTTGGGTTATACTCTTCAACAAAACTCAGAATCAACCAAAATTGTTGACTTTTGTGTGTGCCGTTTGACTTTTACATGTTGAGTGTCATTTCGCTTTTGGACATGCGACAAAATTAGAAAGGAAGAAAAACTCGTTTGTGCCGTAATGCCTTGAGCAAAGTCAGAGTTTCCAACTGCAAGAAAAGTCGAGGAAATAAGCAAAAATAAAGTAATGGACCCAAAACAAATTTAAGAAACGATATTATAACTAAAATAAAGAACTTTTTCGATGTGATGAAGCTAATATAGGGATGAATGAAGTGTTTATAATGAGACAATACTTCAAAGATTTCCAGACAGAAAGGTGTAAGCAAATCTTAGACTCTTAAGCTACAAAAATTATCTCTATTAGGTAGAAGAAAGCTAAAATTTATAGTAAATTACAACCATATCATTACATAGCCTAATACTCCTTACATTTTATAATAATAAACATATTTTAAGCTTTTTACACTCATCAAATAAAAATTAGTAATTTTATTTTTTAATTTTATTTAATAATTTATTTTGTTAATTAATATATCATATACAAAAATAAAATATGAAAATTTTATTTAATACATATATTGTTAATATAAACAACTCATAGAAACAAATTTTGAAAGTTAATACGAAAAATAAGAAGTACTTCCTCTATTTCATTATAAATATTATTTTAATTTTTTGTACAAATCAAGAAAATAATTAAGTTTATATATTTTCTATATAAAAATATAATTATCTATACAACTAACCATATTTCAACCAATAAAAAAAATTACATAATAAACTTAATAAATTTTATATTGAAAATTGAAAACAACATTTATTTTATAACGAAAAAATGATCTACTCTCACACTTAATATGAAAGAATATAAAGAAACGGTGAAGTGATGTGACCCACCATGAAACTATATATTTTTTAACAACTAGGTTAGTTAATACATTACTGTTCAGAGAATCCAACATAAAAAGAAGATTAATATGAGCTATAATGGGGATGCTCTGAGGCTAGAAGAAGTACTAGAAGAGTTATTGAAGAAATGACAAGGCTATTTCATTAAATGTTGTATACATAAAGCAAAACCTATTTTGTACCATTGTAACTGTACTATACCATAAAGATCAAATAAAAATGCAGAGAAAAATAAAATAGTAACCCTAAATATTATTAGTGGTAGAGAAAATTATAATTCGACCATTTTTGTTCCCACGTACCTTGAAGGTCAAAGGCCGTATTATTATTTTAAATCTCTCGTTGATTAATCACTGAGATGAACCAGTGATATCCCTTTTATCCTCCTTGCTCTCTGAATTTGGCTGCGTTTGAAGCGGTAGAGGTTGAGAAGATTGTGTAGGTAAGAAAAACTGAGCCCCATTATGTTGTTGTTGATGATGATGCTGTAATTGCTCATCCGTATGGTAGTTATCATTAGAGGGAGGACTATCAACAATATTGCCACCACGAGCTAAAGATGACATTCCGGTTACGGTCGAACCGCCTGAGCTTAATTGATTAACCCCGGTTACTGTAACTGAACCGGTCGGTACAGAGTCAAAACCACTATTAAACCTCAAAATATCAATTTGAGGTTGGTTTTGATGATGATGTGGACTATCACTTCTTCCACCGCCAAACGCTCTAAAAATTTCGTTGTGTGGGTCTCTCGCAACCGCAACCGCTGCTAATTGCTGCGTCTCGAAATTATGTTGATGTTGCTGATGGTAGAGTAGGTCAGTTGGAAAAGCTAATACTGGTAACAAGTTACGAAGCTGCTGCTGAGTCAGCACAGAGGCTGAAGAAGAAGCAGAAGACGGACGCAGCGGTTGAGGCGGTAGAGACATAAAATGCGGTTGAGTATGATGATGCATAGCGTTAGGAGAAGCGTAAGCAGCGAGTTCTTTCTTGGCGTTATCAAGGTCGTGTTGAAGCTGTTTAAGGCGATGCTGAAGGATTGAGATTAAACCGACGCAACCGTAAACCGGGTCGCGAAGCCTAGCTTCGGCTTCGTAGAAAAGAGAGTTAACGGCGTCTTCTCTTTGATTTGAGGCGAGGTCGTTGAGAAGCTTAGCGACGTTACTTGCTCCGAATATTTTGTGAACGTATGCGAACTTGTGAGGTTGGTCTGGTGGGAAATACGGAGCGAATACACATTCTTGTGTGCATTTTCTCCTTAGGAATTTACATGCTGCGCATGGTGAGCTTGATGAAGACGCCATTGTTTGTTGTCTCTCTAGCTCTCTTGAAAAGCCAGGTCGAAGAAAGAAAAACAATTACTAATAACTTTTGATTATATAAAAAGTTTGTTATTTTGAAAAAATAGGGATCGTGAAAGTAAATGCATCTGAGGAAGCCAGTCATTAGAGGATAACATATATTGAGAAAGAAAGAAAAAAAATGGTATCGTGATTCGTGCTTACAAAAATGTTTAGTAAGAGTAATAGAATAGTGAAGTTTATTAAACTAATGGTAAACTATAAGCATTATCATTTTTGAATAGATGAGAAAACACAATAACTTAGTTACAAACCTGAATCAAGATGATGGCGACCTTACGACTTTCAAAAGCTTTTTTCGTTTACAGATCTGTTTGGGAGTTGAGAACTTTTCAGTTTTCCTGTATGCAGTTTTAAAGTAAGATCATCATATTAGTTTTTTTTTTTTAAAAACCATTACATTCCAAATAAAACAAAACCTATATCATCATAAATGATGATTAAAATCTATCACTATCAATCCATGTCAATCAACTATTAACTGAATCAAATCATCGATCAAAGAATGGAAAAAAATCAGTATTACCTCAGATAAACGTTTCTCAATGTTTCCTCTTTTAACTATCTTCGTATCTCGTTCACTTCAGGTCCTGATCACATATTGATCCATTGAGAGATAGCTAGAGTGAATAAGAAGTTAATATCGGGTTCTAGGGTTTCTGAGAAAACCCATAAACCCCACGTTATTGATCCAGCCTCTGATTTATTCTTTGCTGTGGCCCAAGATTTATAAAACGGAGAAAGATCAAGAAAGAAAACGAAAATGGAAAAAGAGAGGAAGGTTTATGGATCACAGAGACGATATTTTTATACTGGTGGGTACACGCAATAAACCATAGCCGTTGAGACTACACGAGAGGGAGGTCTACAGCCGTCCGATATCAATATTATTATTTGGGTTTTAATTATAAGCAAACGCGTGCGTAATTATAGTGTGTCTCTTTATTATTTGATTTAATTATGACTAAATTGCTCTTCAACTGCTGTCTTGGTCTCGAGATAAGTCATTTTCCTCTCTAATCTCAATTGATAAGAAAGCTTTAAACATAAACTTAAAAGTTAGCCATATTTATACAACAATTTCTTTTATTTTCTCCCATCTCATATTGAATGATGTAACTACTATATTTAAGCAGTTGTTATATAGTAATAGTTTTAACTTTTAAGCTATACTCATGGTCACATGCCAACTGGAGATAGAATTAAAGTGCTTGGTTATGTTCGACACAAGTATAATGTTGCACATGGTTTGTATGTTTCATCACTAATAATTAAAATTTTATTTGTTTATCATACTAGTATTGGAATATAACTTAATTATTTCATTTAATGCACTTTTTAACTAAGAAAATATCATAAATCAAATTTAAGACTACGAATTCATTGCAGAGAAATTTGACCTATGTCATATTACTATTTTTTTTCATTGACAGTAAATTTGCACTCCTTTTGTAGTGTCGTTAGCTAAATCATGTGAAGAGTTCTCTCCCACTTTTATCTGATAGTAATTTTTGTGCTCCACTGGCATACGAACTAAATAATGAGATATTCAATACGTTTCTGTTTTTTTCTCTTACCTCTGGAGCACCTTATTTCAGTTATTTCAACATTAATTTGGAGTAGACTACTAGTATATAATAAGGGAACTTTGGAGGCATGTTTACCGTTGCTATCTAGGAGTTCAATCTTGATATGTTCTATCTGAATGTCTGTGTTGCTGTGAACAGAGGGAAATCTACTGTCAATGGGAAGCAGTCTGAAGCTTGTAGCCCTGCGGAACACATGCCATCTACAATCAAAGTACTTTACTTATAACAAAAATAAAGTAGATGTGAGCAAAAGCGACATCAAGGACAAAGCGTTAATGCAATAAGTTATATTCCTACCATCTTTGAAGCTGTTGAGCAAGAATGGAGCCTTGGCTGTGTGTAAGATTGTTGCCAATATATCCCGGTGAAAGAAGCAGAAGCTATTCAAGCAAACATAAGATAAGTCCTGGCTCTCCGAAGTTTCTGTCCCAATTTGTAGAAACTTTAGAAGGAAAGAAGTAATTGTTAGAACAACTCTTATTGTAGAAACACTTCTAAGTGAAAGAACCCTAAAGGCTCTTGTTGCAGTTAGACGGGTTTTAGATTGGTTGGTAATAAACAATAATGCGGAACAACGTAATGGGTCGCTAACACTGAAATAAGAGCTAACGGCTTGGTCCATAACAATGGGAACTGGGACCTTAGAGTAGCACGTTGTCGCTTGTTATGACCAGAAATTTAGCCACGTATATTTTGGGTTTCTTTGACCCTTGACTTGTTTATAGAATCAATGCAATAAACGTAGTTGACCTGTAATCAAAATTCAGATAGCTCTCGAGTTTACGGTCAGATCTAAAACTTTTAAGTTTTAACCAACCAAGTTGGTATCTATCTTTTCTTTAGCTTTGACTGATCTTGCTACGTGACCCCTTTTTAAAATAATGTTTCGTCCCAATTATTAAAATATAATGCTAGTGCATCATAGAGATCAAATAAACTACAAATAAGCATAGAGTGTAGTTGACGAAATCAATATTAAAAAGAGATTAGTCTAATTAGTTGAATAAGCTAATCCCCTATATATTATTTGAGAATCATTTAAAAAGTTGTAACCTTAAGTTTGTAAGAATTAATAATAACCCCAATCCTATGTGGCATAGCTCTTTGGCTTCTATTTCAAATTCCAAGGATTCTAGAGCATGTGATATAATGTATAGTTTAAAAATTATATTCTCTAGCAATATAATTTTTTGTAGGTTATAGTTGGTCGCATATATCAAATATTTATTGCTTCGCATGCTTTCCTTAAATAACCTACGGAATTACCTAATATGATTAAAATATATATGATAATTAATGATTTTAAACAATAAAGATTTGATAACAATATTCATACATTTTTCTCATTTTGTTTATTTATTTATTATTAAATAAATTACACAATTAAATTAATCATATAATAAAAATCTAGATTTTTTTGTGTGTATGTTGTATTTCGAATTTTTCAAAATGAGTATAAATTACTAAAACAGTTAAAAGTCTCACATAAACTTTTAGGATCAAGGTTTTAATTTTTTCTATATTAAAATATAGTGATTATAAGACCATATTAAGAAATAATTTTAAGTTTATATATATTTCATATCATTTTAATTAAACTATATATCATATGAAAATACATACTTATATTTTGATATTTGCCTTGAACATATATTGAAAAGTTAATATTTTAATTTTGAAATATGTCATTGTTTTTTTTAAATGATTATAAATTATTGAAACTACTAAACATCTCACATTTAAAAAAATTTGTTGGTGTAAAGTCTGTTACACAAATATGCAAATAATCATAAAATCATGTGAGTAAAAACCTCATTTAATAAATATCCATATTAAAAGTGTTCTATATTACTATGTTTATATCATTTAAATTTAATTATATATCATATATAATATATAAGATTGATTATTTTTATTTATTTACCATAATTGCGAATAAA